ATAAGTCAAATTTTTTTCTTTCATTCATTATTTTTATGATTGTATTATTCACAAAACAAAGTTGAAAAAATTTTTTTTGAAACAATTCGAAAACAATTTTAAGAAATTATAAACAATATTAAATGATTTCGCAATAAATTTTCCATACTTCAATAATTTTCGAAAACAATTGGCCACGCCCTCCCCAAAAAAAAAATAAATAAATAAATAAATAAATAAAAACTATTTCAATTCTATAAGAACAAATATTTCGATGATATGTTGATGGAATAGATTTTCCCGCAAAAAATTAACATTTTAGAATGTCTACTTGTTGAAATCTTTAATTTAATTAAAGTTTAGCATAAAATTTTTAATATTTTGATACGTGCTATTTGCTGTGATAGAAACTTTTCTTCTCTTTCATTTTGCAAAGTTTATAACTTGTCAATTTCAATCAAAACATAACTAAATGATGTATGGAAAAGAAACGAAATAAAAATTTCTTATAAAATAATTTCAAGAAGAAATTCGTTGTTTAAGCGCATTAATTCTTCTTCAAATTAAAATTGAAATTGATGCTTCTTTTTTCTTTTGTGATTTTTTGGTGAAATGAGCAAATTGCTATTTTTTAATTTTTCTCATTTTTTTTTTTCTCCTTGTTAAATTTGTAATTGAAAAATAAAAAACTACAATATTTTTTTTTCTTTTTATAAAAAAAAAAATTTTTTTTTACAATTTTTTCTTGCTTTTATAAAAATATTATCAGTTATCAGTTATTTTTGATAAGTTATTTCTGAAATAAATGATATGATATGAATTTAAATTATACTTTAATAAACAATTATTATTCTATTCCTAAATTCAAAGACATTTAAATTTTCTCCAACATTTACTAAGAAATTTTAAAAACAACAATAACGAGAAGAACAATGACAGCAATATCAATAACAATGGAATTATAAATATTTGAAGCAACTAAATATGCCAATTCAATATTTCAGAGCTAACAGAGAACTTGAAAAGATTATTGTGAGTTAGTATTAGAGAAGAAAATGAAAATAAAAAGAAGTGAGAGATATGAATTGGATTTTGCCAAAAAAGCTTTTTTTATTCTAAATTCAGTCGCAGCATTGGAGTGGGCAATGTCTTCTTTGCATGTTTTAATCGATAGATTAGATAGATAGATAGATAGATAGATAGATAGATAGATAGATAGATAGATAGATAGATAGATAGATAGATAGATAGATAGATAGATAGATAGATAGATAGATAGATAGATAGATAGATAGATAGATAGATAGATAGATAGATAGATAGATAGATAGATAGATAGATAGATAGATAGATAGATAGATAGATAGATAGATAGATAGATAGATAGATAGATAGATAGATAGATAGATAGATAGATAGATAGATAGATAGATAGATAGATAGATAGATAGATAGATAGATAGATAGATAGATAGATAGATAGATAGATAGATAGATAGATAGATAGATAGATAGATAGATAGATAGATAGATAGATAGATAGATAGATAGATAGATAGATAGATAGATAGATAGATAGATAGATAGATAATAGATAGATAGATAGATAGATAGATAGATAGATAGATAGATAGATAGATAGATAGATAGATAGATAGATAGATAGATAGATAGATAGATAGATAGATAGATAGATAGATAGATAGATAGATGGATAGATAGATAGATAGATAGATAGATAGATAGATAGATAGATAGATAGATAGATAGATAGATAGATAGATAGATAGATAGATAGATAGATAGATAGATAGATAGATAGATAGATAGATAGATAGATAGATAGATAGATAGATAGATAGATAGATAGATCAGATAGATCAGATAGATAGATAGATCAGATAGATAGATAGATAGATAGATAGATAGATAGATAGATAGATAGATAGATAGATAGATAGATAGATAGATAGATAGTAGATAGATAGATAGATAGATAGATAGATAGATAGATAGATAGATATAGATAAATAATTAAATTAATAATCAATGAATAAATGTTTTTATTAAAACTCTTTTTAATCTTTTTTCTTTTCTTTAAGTATTAAGAAGTTTCGTATAATTTTTAATATTTGAAGTACTTTTCATAGTAATTTTTGTGAATTTTTGAAGAGTTATTTTGAAATATTAATTGAACTAAAAGAAATATTATTTAATGAATATTTCGTTCCTTTTGATTTTTTTAAAAAAAAAAAAGAAATTTAACACTATCTTTAATATTTCATTTATTTTTCAATTCATTTGCAATCAATAATATTATATCGTTTGGTTTGAAATACTTTCATTCAATTTAATTTTTTGCCAATTGTTATTTTTATAAAAAATTCTGAATAAACTTTTTTTTTCACTTTTTGTAAATTCTAACAATTTTTTCAATAGCAAATGATTCATGACCGATCGATTGATATCCTTAAAAAATCTTTCAAAATTTTGTTCCAACAATTATATGATATATGCTTAATTAATTAGCATTTGAGGGAAAAGAAACAAGCATTTAAAAAAATTTTAATTTTATTTTTGTAATCAAATTTCTAAACAGAATATTGTATAGGAAAGATAAATTATTTTAGTAAAAAAAAAATAATTGAAACTATTATTTTTCATTTTAACACTTCATTAAGCAAATTATAATTTGAATTGAATGAAAATGTTATTATTATTGGATGTAATGATAAACTGAAAATGATAATTTTAATTACTTTAAGTTCAATGCCTTTCTTTTTGATAAAACCAAAAACGTTTAAAAATTTGAAATATACTAATAAAACCTAATTAAGTAGCAATAAAAAAAGAATTCGTTTTTTTTTTTTTTGATTTATTTTCTTTTTTAATATATTTAAATGATTTCATCTAATTTTGTTTATTACTAACACTTATTTTCTTTATCAGTATTTCTCCTTTTCCTTTTTATTAAAGCAATGATATAAACTTTTTTTATCAATAATTTTTAATATAAATTTAAATTAACAATAAAAAAAAAAAGAAAGAAAGAAAGCATTCACTAATAAATATAAATTGAAATCTTACAAAAGATTCATTGCATAAAATGTAAACAAAACTACGTTTACACTTTTAAGCAATAATTGTTTGTTTTGCTAAGGTAAATAATTAATTTGAGTTGCAGTCTTACTTATAAATATAGCAATATGATAATATCAACTAATTAACTTTAACAATAAACTATATTTAAATTAGCATTAAAAATTATTCTATTTTTGCATAATTTAAAATTTAAAAATATAAATTAAAAAAAATAAATTAAAATTCAAATTTATTCATGTATTTAAATTAGCATAAAATTTTTGCTATCATTTTTTTTTTCTTGAATAATTCAAATTAATATGTAAATTTTTTTAATAAAAATAAAATACATCTAAATTAGCATGAAATTATTATTATTTGTTGTTGTTTTTTTTTTTTTTTTTATTTTTGCATAATTCAAAATAATATCCAAATTTCTTTTATAAATTTATTATTTCATCTGTATAAGTTTTAAACAATAATTGGTTGTTTTAATTTTAAAAGTAATTTTAACTTTTCCAATTGGTCCGTTTTTTTTTTTTCTTTTCACCATTTGTTGCAATATCTTTTGTCATTTTGCAAAAAAAAAAAAAAAAATGTTCTAATATTTATTAATTATTTGATAATTTTAACAATATTATCATTTTTTCTCTCTTTTTTTTTTAATCCATCTTTTTAGCTTTTCTTACTTCATTTATATTTAGATAAAAGTTTATGATAAAATTATATTACATTAATCATTTTAACACGCTTTAAAAAATAAAACTAAGTTGTTAATAATTAATTTCATATTTTAAAAATGAAAATAACTTGTCATGAACAGTGATAAGTTATTGTGATAAAAATATATTAAAATAATTCTTCTTTCTCCCTCTTTTTTTTTCTGGAATTTATTATGATATATTCTTTTAAGATAAAATAACAAAGATGTCCTTAGTTTGAAATTTTGATCTTTCATTTTACTTTTATCTTACTGATTTCTTATCAGTTTACAATGCCATCATTTCATTCTTTTTATTTTTTACATGTTTATCTTTACTTTTAATATTTTCATAGTAATAAGTTCATAGCTATTTGCTTATCATTCTAAGATTTTTAGTCGTACTCATATTGTTCCAATTTCAATTTCAATTTTTTTTTTTTTTATTTTAACTTTGATTTAAATTCATATTGTAAATGATTGATTGAATCATAATCATTCATGAATTTAGTATAATTTCGTTTTTTTTTTGATTTTGATTTTAAATGTTAGATTTTTCAATTAATTGTAATGGCTAGCAATTTGAATGATTATTTTGAATACTTGAAAGAACTTATTTCAAATGAGAAATGGATCATAGATATATGACTGACAACTATGAGAGAAAATTTTTAATTATAATTTCTTAAAAATAAGAATTTTTTTTTAATTCAGTAAATTCATCATCATAGTTCAACTGCTGTTTACATTTTACTCTTTTTTTTGTCAACTTTAATTACTCATTATATTTTCTGCGACAACTTTTTATAATTTTTGTAATAAACAATCAATTTGTCACCACAATTTCTCTTCCATCCTTTCTCTTTTTTTTTTTTTTTTTCGTTTTTCTAATCATATGATAATCAATATGATTAGAAAGCAGTGTAAGCAGTGTATATTACGCGCTTCATAGATCTCAAAGTAAATTTTTAAATTTCAAATGGTATTTTAAATTTTTTTTTTGTTTTCAAATTTTTTTTGTTTTCAAATTTAAATTTCAAATGGTATTTTAAATTTTTTTTTTTCAAATGGTATTAAATTTTTTTTTTCGAACTATTCCATTTGTAAATGTTTATAATCGCTTGTTTATTTAAATAAATTTCTTATATTTCATTATGAATTTATTCTCATTTGTTTTTTTTTTTTTTTTCTTTACAGTTAAAATTGATAAAACTTTTTTTTTTGATTTTTATCAATTTCGATGACTGTTATATTGATAAAATCATTAATTAAACGATGTTTTACAACAGGTCCAAAACGAACAATTATTGATGGTAAGTATAATAAATTAAATTATTAGTATTATTTTAATTAATTTTTTTTTTTTTTTTAAAGTAAAATGTATATTTTATTTCTATAGATTTTAATTTATGGCAGATTAGATTGAATTTACACTTACATATGATCAATTTTTTTCTTAGACTTTTCTAAATTAAATTTTTGTCTTCTTGAAGTGTTTATTTTTTATCTTAAATACTTATCAGTTGAATTATCAACAAATTGAAAGTTTATTGAAAAAAAAAAAGGTGAAATAATTGACTTTATTTTCGTATTTATTATTATATTTTATTAGAATTTCTTATTTCTTATATAATTATGATCTTATTATTATAAGTTATTGTAAGAATTTTTTTCATATAAAATATTATGGAGTACATATATTAATTAAATTTCTTGAAATAGCATTAATAGATAAATATTTCTTTGGAATATTTCATACGTATATAAGTGATATTTCATTTTATTCATTCATATTCCTTCAAAATTTAAGCTAATCTAACTCTTATTTTAATTCATTCATTCATTCATTCATTCATTCAATCAATCAATCAATCAATGAACCAATCAATCAGCAAATCAAAAATCATTGATATTATTATTATTATTATTGTTGTTATTATTATAGTTCAGAAAGCTCTTGAAAAACATATATCGATTATCAAACAGAATGATACAGCAATAAGGTATGTACTGATTATTTTCAATTTTTATCAGTAATAAATATACTAACTGGGATAGTATTACTGTAATATGAAATTTTAATTAAATTAATTTTCATTGTTATCATTCCTAAAATTATTTTACACTATTAATTTGCCTTATTCATAAATATTTCCACTATTTATCATTTTATTTGTAAAATTTTATCTCAATATATTTCATAAAATGGGAAAACTCTATGATCTAAAGAATTATCAAAAATTAAATTGTATTTCAAAAAAAAAAAAAAAAAATGAATAAGGATTTAGTAAAGTGGAGAAATTTCAAAGTCGAATGATGAATGATAGCCGTGATCAGGTATTGATCCCATTAAGCTTAAAAAGTTCAAATATAGAATTTCATACTAAATACATCAATTGGCGTAATCACGTACGCTTTGGTATGCTTCTCGAAGATCTTGATACATTTGCTGGTTTGATTTTAATTTCTCAAAAAAATTTATTTATTATTAGTGTGTATTTTATTAGTTATTAAAATATATACATTTTTTTTTTATATATTTCATTAATTATTTTAAGAAAAAATAAATAAAATTATTTATTATTGATATGTATTTTAGTTATTATTAACTATTTTAGAAAAAAAATGTTTTATTCACCAATTAAGCAAAAAGGAATGATTTATTACTTTCACTTTTTTTCAATTATTTTAAATTTTTGTTGCAAAAATTTTAAATCCTTTTTTTTTTCCTTTTTTTTTTTACTTGAAATAAATTAAAAATATATCATACTTTAAGTTTACTAAAACAATAGCAAATTTTATTTTCCTGCTAATACTTTTATAAATATAACTTGAATCACTAAAAAAAAAAAAATCAAAAAATGAGAGGGAGAAAAAAATGTTTTGTTACAAAATTTAACAAATGAATCTTACAATCTTACATTTTTAAATTATTTTAAAATCATTTTTTTTTTAAATTTTAATTTGAATTTAATATTTAACTCTGTTTGATTAAAAAATTTCAGTTTGGTTAGCTTATCGACATAATCAAGGAGAGATAGGTGTGCATTCGAATTCGAATGATTTCGAACCGATCACATTTGTTACAGCATGTGTCGATCATATTAGTAATTTTCAACTATAATAATATTTTATTTAATTGTTTTTTTCTTTTTTAGTTATTATTAATTATTTTAGAAAAAAAAATGTTTTATTAAAATGTTTCATTAGCTAATTAAAAAAAAAAAAAAAAAAGGAATGATTTATTACTTTCACTTTTTTTCAATTATTTCAAATTTTTGTTACAAAAAATTGAAATCCTTTTTTTACTTGAAATAATTTAAAAAAATATTCTTATTTATTGTGGTTATTAAATCATGGTTAATTAAATTGTAAATTATTGTTTAATTTCTTGTAAAAATAAGTGAATTTTAATTAGAGCTTATTTTTTTTTTTTTTTTAAAGTTTAATTTTTTTTAAATGCTATTAGGAATGGATGATAAATATGATATTGTGCTTGATGAAGATATTTACATGGATGGTTTTGTAAGTTGGGTTGGCAGATCAAGTCTTGAAACATCAATGCAACTCTCACAAAAAATTGTACAAATTTGAAAAAAACTTTATTTTCTAAATTTTTTTTTTTTTAAACTGCGACATAAAATTGCTCTAAAAAAAAAAGAAAACGAAAAAATTTAATTTAAATAAAAATTGTTAAATTTTATCTCAAAAAGGAAAAAATCTGGTTTTTTTTTTTTTTCTTTTTTAAAGTGTAACATAAAATTGCTACAAAAAAAAAAGAAAAGGGAAGAAAAAACGAAGAAATTTATTTTAGATAAAAATTGTTAAATTTTATCTCAAAAAGAAAGGAAAAAAAAGATTAACAAAATTAATTATTGTTGTAAATTGTTGTAAAATATTTTGCTGTTAGATTATTTAGGCTAAATTAATTTTTTTTTCATCTATTGTTTTTTTTTTTTAAAAATTTTAATTAATAAAATTAGAATTTAGAATTTCATGTTAAATATATTTAGAATGGTGTGACTAAAAAATTTTTACAAACAAAATTTGTAATTGTTGCGCGTGATGCAAAAGGTAAACGATCAATACCTAATGTTCCATTAATTGTTACAAATGATAAAGAGGAAGCAATTTTTAATGATGGAAAAGGTATGTTTTCATTTACATTTATACATTTCCATCAATTTGTTTTTGTTTTTTTTTGAAATATAAATAATAGTTATTAATTAGTGAAATAAATATATAAATAAGTAATATTTGCAATTTTCATATAAGTTTTTTCCCTTTTCTCTCTCTTTCTCCCTCTCTCTCTCTCTCTCTCTTTCTCTTTCTCTTTCTCTTTTTTGCCATTTCCGATATTTTATCTTTATTTTTTTATTATTTCAAAAAAAAAAAACCAGGAAAAAAAGTAGAATAACTATATAAAATGAGGAGAAAAAGAAACAGCGAAATCATATGAGTAAAATTAACTTTTCAAAATATTTATTCGTCTTTCTCTTTTTCCTTCCTCAATTAATACTTTATTTATTTATTTAGTTTTTTAATAAAAATTCATTTCTATGTAATGTTATGCTACTTAACTTTGATTAATTGTAGATTACTTCAGAAGGTCAAAGGTTGCGTAAGTTAAATGAAGAATGTTCGTTGTTGAAAAGGCCACCTAATGAAAGTGAAATCAAAATATTGCATGATATTTTCAAAAAAAATATTCAATCTGGGTTAGATTTTTTTTTTTTTTTTGTTTTTACAAAAGTTTTTTTTTATTTTTTGAAGAATTTACTAGATTATAAATTTATTCTTTTAATATACTTAATTATATAACTTCATTTTTAAAAAAAAAAAAAAAAACTTGTCAATTTAAATTCAGAAAAAAAATTACTTTGATCTGGATTAATACTCCTTTTTTGTAAATTTTTAACATTAGCTAATAAAGGATTTATAGAGTGTTCATTGAGCAATCAATAATATAATTTATTAAATTGAAACTTTAAACAATTTAAATTCTTATAACTCTCAACAATTGTCTTTTGCATATATTTTAAACTTTATGATTATTGCAAAATTTAAAACATATATAATAATTTCAAATCTAATCAAACACCAAAAATTCAATTTTTTACAAATACAAAGCTATTATTTGTTTTTTTTCAATAAAATGAAATATCTATGAATTTATTAAAAAAATTTATTATATCAATTCTAGAAGTCATAGTCGAATTTTATTCAATAGTCTTTTGCACCTTTTTTTTTATTTTTTTTTTAAAATTATATTTTTAAATTTTATGATTATTGCAAAATTAAAATATATAACTAATTTAATGAAACAATAAAAATTCATTTTTTACAAGTGCAAAGCTATTATTTGTTTTTCAATGAAACAAAATATCTATGCTTTTATTAAAAATTTATTATTATTCAATTTATTGTTCAAAATTTATTATTCAAAATTTATTATATTTAGAAGTCAAAAAAGTCATAGTCGAATTTTACCATTAAATCATGTATGGATTCATGATGCTCATCTTAGTGATACCATTGTTTGTTTTCCAATAAAACGAAATATTTATGGTAAAATATTTGGTGGTTTTCTAATGCGAAAAGCTTTAGAATTAGCTTGGTCAAATGCATCATTATTTAGGTAATTATTTTTTTAAATTAACTTTTTCTTACTTCTTACTTATTTAGTTACTTTATTTTTTTATTCATAGGTTTATTCATCTAACTTTTTTTTTTTTTCATTAATTTTTTCTAATTATTATTTAGTGAAATTTATATTCATATAGATTAAATTAATAACATATTTTAGTGGAAATCGTTGTCGTATATGTGGTGTAGATGATATTATGTTTCGAAAAAGTGTTGATGTTGGTTCAATTTTATTACTTTCAAGCCAGGTAATTTCAATAAATTACCTGAAAAATTTTTCTTTTTTCGCTTTTTAATTAAAATTTAATATTATATTTTAAGTTTAATAACGATCATTTATTATATTTTCAAATTTCAAACTAATTTTTCCTTTTCTTTTTTTTTTTTTTTTTGCTCAACTTTTATTTTGTAAAGATTTTCAAAATTAGCATATAAAAATAGATGTTTGCAGATATGATATTATTCATATATCATATCATATCACATCCAGATTCTTCCTGTATGATTTATCTCTTTTGATTGCATGTTTCATTTAAATTTTTCTTTTTTTTTGTTTATTTATTAATTCTCAAACTCAAAAATATATCGTTCACTTAAGATATGTGTAAATAATTGAATTAAATTGCTTCCTAATTGATTATTTTTGATTAAATTTTAATGCCAATTTAAAATGTGAATTAAACATTTACATCTACTAAAATTTTTTATGCTCCATATAATCTATAATTTTCACAACAATTTTTTGTTTATACTTTTTTCAAAGTTTCTTACATCAAAATATTCAATGTAATAATTTCTTTTTGATACTTGGACTGAATTAATTTGAAAAACTATTCTTCTCGATTTAACTTTTTTCAATGCTTCTATAATAAGTTAATCTAAAAAAAAAAAAAAAAAAAAGGATGAAATCGAAACTTTTTTCAAGCAATTTCTAAACTCTTACAAATACTTTCATATTTTAGTCACTGTAATCCTCATACTTTAACAAATATTAAGTTAGCTTTTTAAAGAAATATTAAATATTATGCATCGCTTAATTCAATGCAATTAATTTGGGCATAAAATGGGTAAACGATGTTAATTTGCTTCAGTTTTCTCATTATTTTTTAATTAGTTGCATAATTTTAAACTTATATATTTAAAAAGGAATCAAAAAAAGATTAAAAATAGGCAAATTAATTTCAAATAAAAGATTTAAAAAGAGAATCGATTTAAAATTTGGGAGATTTAAAATTGCTTCATTGTTATTTATACGTATGCATCAAATCATTTACATTTTATACTTTTGCTTAAGTAATTTAAAATGTAAAAATTAAAAAATTTAAAGTATTCCTTTGCAATATCCAATGATTATATGATAGATCAATAGATTGGTCATAATTTTTAAGTGATAAGATATAATAATGATAATATGATTATAGGTTTGCTACAGTACTGATCATTACATGGAAGTTCTTGTTGATGCCGAAGTTTTAGACGTTGTAACCGGAAATCGTGAAGTAATTTTTCTTTTATAATAATTTATTCAATTGAAAAAAAAAAAAAAAAAAATGTAATATTGTTTTTTAATGAAATTGCAATATTTAAGCATTTTCATTTTCTTCAATCTATCATATTAAATTATTCGATGGAAATCAAAAACAAAATTTTTTATAATCATTTTTCTGTGAAAGATAAATAATCTTATCGTAAAGAAATATTTTACTGATAAATGCAAACATCAAAAATTAATTCGAATTTTTTTTGAAACATATATCTAATATATCTGCTTAAATTAAATTCAATTAAATCATTAAAAATTTCAGTTAACAAATACATTTTATTTAACATTTCAATCGGATCGTATTGTACCAACTGTTGTACCATATTCATATTCAGGTATATAATGTATTACAAATTTTTTTAAATTCTTTTTCAAAGATATTTTATGAAACTATTAATGATAATGAGATTATAATTTAATTTTTCCTATATTTTTCCCCTCTGATTAATATTGTAACAATTGTTATTTTCAAGAGAATTTTATCCTTCAAACATATGTATTAATTAGTATTTTGATTATTTATTTCTATTCTTTCAGGAAATCTTAAACATAAATAGAAGTAACATTTAAATTTACTGATCGAAGAGTGATTTAAAAATGTAATAAATAAATTGTAAAATGATAAATTTGATTGCATTTTAGAAGGAATGCTTTACTTAGATGCAAAACGACATTTCGATGGATTTCTTTCACAGCATCACAAAGTAATTCAATAATGTTATCTTTTTGTTTTGCTTGAAAATTGTAATAATTATGCAAATGTGAAACATATATATGTAAGAATTGAGTGAGATTTAAAAAAAAAAAAATCATAATATTTTATTTTTGAAATTTCATTACTGCATATTTTTGTCACTTAAATAAAAAAATTTTCATCCTGTATGATAAATTTTATTTTCATGCATACATTGCATAAATTATTTATTTTTTTGCTGTTGATCTAATTTGAAACTTTTTTCAAATTTAATTTGGAAGTTTTTTTTTTTTTTTAAAGAATTATTATTTTATGTTTGTATCATAAGATAAGATATATGTCATTTAAAACTAAGATTAGAAAATTTGATCTTTTAATATTCTATGTTATAGTGAGAAAAAATCACTATAACAAATATTAATGTTTAATTATAGTTATTATAATAATGATATGCTAAAATTGAAAGCATAATAGAAAAATGTTATCATACTTATTGACTCATTAATTTGCTCCTGTTACTGAGAATCAAAAATAATAATCATGCAATCAAAGGACTTATTTTAAATTACAATTTAAATTTCATTAAAATGTGTTCGCTAAATAACTAATTAAAATTAACGCTAATTGAAAATAAAAATTAAAACTAAAATAATACTACCTGTGTCGAAGATTTTAGTTTTTTTTTTCAAAGAATTTAGATTTATTATTATTATTATAATTATTATATTTATTATTATTAATTATTATTATTATTATTTCCTGAAATGTTTGAAACTAAAATCTAAAATCTTTGAAATGATACATAAAGTAAAAATACAAAATACAATTTTGTATTAAATCCGCGAGGCACTAAAAAGATTCAAGTTGAAATACAAGAAATTTTCGAAATGACTAAAATATTCATACAACATCTAATGCTATCGTGAATTCCACAAATTTGAATTGTATAAGTAAGTTTATGAATTTTTTTTCCTATGCAGTTAAATATTTCAAGAGTTAAAAAAAAGAAAAAAAAAGTTTCTGAAAATTATTGATAGATTACATCTAAATGAAATCACACTATGTGATGGATGCCAAAAAATATAAATATTAATTGAACTGCTGATAAGATAATCAAAAAAAAAAAAAAAAAAAGTATAGCAATGTTACAGTTTGTTATTTTTAATAATAATATGTTGAAAATGATATTAAATGCGGCACTCTTTGAAATATATAATCAAAATTTATGGTTGATATGACTTTTAGTTTGCTAGAAAGAAGTCTGATAAATTTGATATCATTCACTGTTATCTTCAAGAATAGAAACAGAACGTTAAAATATCTCATTCTGTGTTATCTTTTTTTTTTAAAAAAAAAATTAAATATAATTTGTCATACTTACTTTTCAATAGTAAAAATGTATAAAAAAAAAAGCAATAACAATTGAAAATCAAAATGCCACAATCGTTAGAACTTTCATTTTCATCCTAAAAACTCATCCAAAATTCAAGAAATCTTAGGTATATTATTTGAGGGTGACAATATCAGTGCAAATAATTTCTATGACAGTTGCAGAAGAATTGAAAATATCATTTAGCGATCAAATTGCAATTGCTTCTTAGACATTAATAAACTTTGATCATCGACTACAATTACTTTTTGGGAACTGAAATCCTCAATTCTCATAGATTCAAGAATTAAAGAATTAAAAAAAGAATTAAATCAAGAATTAAAATTTCAAGCTAATTTGAAGGCTGAAATATTTTTTCTTTCCCTATGCTAAAATATTATAACATTTTTATGATAAAAATAAGAAAATGTATGAAATAATAAGTGGAAATTGTTAGATTTAAATAGAATTAAATCATTGATTTTTATTAATTTTTCTTTTTTTCAAACATTTCTAGCAGTGATTTTTATGTTAAAACAGAGAGAATGGATTGATATAAATTTTCTAAATTGTGATTGTTTAAGAATATAACATATAAAAATTTTGTTTGCATTATATATGCATAGATGAAAATAATAATTCGTTTGCATTAAATAAAAAGATTCGAGAATAACGATGTTTTCTAGATGAAGTGATCAACGCAAGATCAAAATATTTAAGATCAAAATATTTTCTGAATGAAATATTTTGATTCTGGATAAAGTTCTGGATAATTTTCAATTTCATTTGTTGTTTTAATTCATTAATGATTTTTTTCTTTTAAATTCAAATTGAGAATTTATATTCTTCTAGGTGAGTTAATTGTTATGAATATTTTAAAAAAGTCATAAAAAAATGAAAATTTCGGTTCCTTTTATCAGTTACAGATTAGTAAAATACATTTTTATGATTGTTATTAAAAAATAAAAATAAAAAATCATAAAACAATTTTAAAAAATAAGCAATTCGTTTTCCTCGATTTGTCATTTTATTTGATGGAGGAAAAATGTCACTAAAGATGTTGTATTTTTAACTTTATTTATAGCTTTAATTCATGAGAGATTTTTTCTTTTAAATTAAAGTTAGGAATTTTCGTATTTAAGTAAATAATTTAATAGCGATTATTTATGAAGACGAGTGTGTGTTGAAAATTGGTTTAGATGTGAAAGTGAACAGATCTGAACAGAAAATTATTATTGAATGTTAATAACTTTATTGGAAGAGAAGAAATACTTCAAAGCAAGCTTCTGAGATGACAGTATAAATTGAAATGCTTGGTGCAATGAGTGCTTCTTTTAAATGAATCGACAAGTAAGTTAGTTTTATATTAGTAAGTTAATTTTTTTTTTTTTTGTTAACCATAAATATTTACATATTGATTACGAACATCAAAAATTTATTGGTTGTTTTTTCATTTTATTAAACCAAATCTTTTCTTATTATTGTCATCTCAAAATGACTGTATCTGTTATAATTTGCAGCAAAGAATATGTATAATTGTTCTTAAATGATTGTAAGCTTCTTGTTCAGTTTGATTTTTTTATTATAAAGTAATCCAACTTACAATGCTGAATACTGTAGAGGTCTCTCAATTTGACAGTCACTGTTATAAGCAATTGTAATGTTATAAGTCAAATTCGATTACATCGATTAAAGATTATTCATGTATGATAGTTGTTTACTCTTTTTTCAAACCATAATCATATAATCATACACTTTGTTGTAAACCAATGTTAACTATAAGAGAAGTAAAAACTTCCGGTTATTTGGGTTCAGTTTCCAAGTATAGCAAACTTCGATTTGATTTATCTGGGGAAATCACTCACTCACTCATTCAATTTACTTTCAAAATAGTGGTAACATAGTAACAATAACACTATGAAGCAAAAGAATGATATTTCAAAACTAAATTACAATAAATTGGTGAATATTTGATGGACTGTTGGTATAATTTGATATTAGCTTTGTTTATTTCTTTCCTATTATTCTATAAGCGCAATATTATATGATATCGTATAAAAAACAGTAAAGTTATTGTCGATGTTGTGCAGAAATTTTTGTAAACATTTTGTAAACAACAAGTATTAAATCTTTAACAATATCCTAATTCTTTCTATATTGTTGATATAAAAAAAAAATTACAAAATCAAATACAAAATCCTACAATCATCATAAAAATAAATAATAATAATAATGATTATTAGAGAGGTAATGTCAGTTAAAGCCATATATTGTTGAAATAAATAAAAGCCAGTAATGTAAGAAATATACCTTTCAGAATAGTTTTAGCTAACTAAGAACAAACAAACAAACAAACAATAGATACAATGCTTTCTAATAAAAAATATTTTTGAAAATTAGAGGTAACAAAGTTTGCTTGATGTTTTCTCAACCTTATAAATTTTTGTAAAAAATTTATTAAAATTAGACCGATCATCAGAATAGCCAGGCATTTAAATCTCTCTGTGGATTAACCCCCATCATGATATATGCCGAAATTGAAACAACCGAATGCAAAAGATGGAAATTGAATTAATTAAAAGATGAAAAATTAAAAGACAAAACAATTCTACACCTACACTTACATTATAAAAGTCATTGATAACAAATGTGCTAATTTCAATTTTTAAAAATATTGCAAAAAAATAATTCCAAAAATATCATTTATTAATTTAGGCCACTGTTGCTACATTCACATTGTTCCTTGCATTCCAGCATACCTTAGATGATGGGTTTATTTCTAGATGTCCCATTTTCAGTTGTAACCAATGATATAAATGATATTTTACAATAGTACGTGATTGTTTACTGTAAGTGAAATGAACAGTAGGCAATACAGAGCAAATGAAAATGATGTAACAATTTATGAAAATTCTGGATGGAAGATCAGCTTCTTTACCGAAAATTTTTGTCAACAATGGTGACACAAAATTATAAATAAAAACGCCAATTTCCAATACACCACAATTCCATGAAGCCTGAATAAGCATCGACCACTCATAATGAGGAATTTTCATCGCATTACTTCTATGTCTTGCACCAGTGTTCATAATATCTGAAGATACTTGATAGTTAAGCAATGAAATATGCAAAGATTTGAGAGTGAAAACTTTGGAATTTAAAAAATTTAACAATTTAGAATATACCAGTAAATTTTATTAATTACTCATAATATAAACAAATAATTCAGCAGCACAAACGTTGCTTTCCATTGTTATTTATCGTAAAATGACGTTTACGACGTATATTGTAGAATATCGCGATATACATAACGAACATTACACTAGGTATGAGCAATGCATAACGATAATATATTCTAAAATATTTAAGGAAATAATTTTTATTAATCATTTTATAACCATGTAGGACATTTTGCCATAGCTAATAAATGAAAAGACATTGGCTATTAAAATGTTTTGGTTAGGATGTGTTAAACTTGACAGTAATGCTTTGTTACAGTTTAGTGATTTCATTAAATTAAAAATTTGTTAAGAATTGAAAAAAGAGCTTTAAGTGATTACCTCCACCAAGTTTTGCTCATTCCGCTTGACTTTGCACAATTTGCTTCCCAACTGAGATTCCACACAAGGAATCTTCTGGTGCAATAATAAAAATCGGCAGATGTGATCACTGAAAATTAGCACCAAACATTAACAAAAATTCAAGAAAATCAGATGTAAGTTAACTTCGATAAAATTGGATGCCCAGAATCTCTACAAATAATAATGGCATAACTGGAAATCATTTTGATCATTATTTAAGGTACATCAATGATTCATACCTAAAACTGATAACCACACAACAGCAATTAGAAAATACAGCTTTGCTGATTCGAACAAACTATAGTATTTTGGTAAAATTAGTGCCACAAAACGATTCAGCGTCAACAAAAGTGAAAAATGAAGTATGGAAAAGAATGAAAAAGTATTTAAAGTCGAGAATGCGCGATTAATCCACGTCGTTTCACTTGCTGAAATTTAAGCAAATTAGTTATTAAACAAATAATTTTTGTATTAAAATGACTCTTTTAAAATAATAACCTAAAACACTTACAGTATGAATTATTTTTTGTTTTAAATATTTCGGGCAACACAACAAGTATTTGCGGGAGAAAAGCCGTGAAATTAGAAATAATCACTTGTAATACAATAAGAGTAAATTCACGACTGTAATGATTATTCCGATCCTTACAGAACAACACGGTTGCCATAAGTGTATTACTTATAATACCGTAGAGCAGGAGTATAATAAAGAACAGAACTGCTATGTATTTTGCAACTTCGTAGTCTTTGTTTCTTATGTCGGTGACAACTGTCGCATTTCCTTCCAAACAGAATGAGGGTAATATCAGAAATAATATAATTGCATAGTAAGAATAAGTCATTTTGTTAACTGACAGTCTTTTTCTAGCATAAAACTTCAGCGCAATAAGAAGGGAACAATTTCAGCAGGTTGGAATATAAATTGACAAGCAAGAATTAAGAATTCGAATTCCAAAAGAAAATAGTTGATAATGAAAATGTAACAATATTTAAAAAGCAATTACAATTTGACCATGAAATGAGTTTTCTACTTCTTTTGCAACTGTCATGGAAACTGCTTATAAAAATATCGTCATCGTTTTAATTCATATAATCAAATGAAGTAATATTTTCTGAATCCAATTTGAATCATAAATTGACTTTTACTCAGTTAGCTAATTCAATTGATACGGCAATCTCTTCGTTTGTTACGCAAGTCTCTCAGAAATAATGAACTAAATGCGATATATAAAGCAAAATAAATTGAAGAGAAATTAGCTAATTACGATGAAAATTAAAATGACTGAAATCCACTGCTCTATCACTACTGAACCTTTCAAATATTATACGCTAATATTAAATCTTATCTTGAATCTTCCTGATATATCCTTTCAATAATATGGTCGCAATAAATGTATCACTATTAACACTGTAGCGCAAGAAAACTTAGAACTGCTGCATATTTTGTAGTCCTATAATTCTGGTCTCTTATCTCAGAAACATTGGTCTTTGTTTTTATCATAAACTTCAATATGATAAAAATGAAGCAAATTCAGCTAGCTGAAATACAACTTTCCAAAATTTGCAAATTTGAATCCTGAAATAGTAAGTGCAATCGACTGTTGAGAGTTTATTATGATTTTAGAAAGCATTTGTTTACAACTGCTATGGAAACAAATGCAGTATGTCTAAATGAAAATAACAATTTTTTCTCCTTTCTTTTGTATGAACATTAAAAAGATTTGGAGTACAAAAAACATGAAATTTTCGGTCAAAAAATCTTAATTTCAGTGATTATTTTTGTCAATTCATTTCTCATTTTAGATCTTATTGTATTAATCAGTCTTTTTTTCTTTTTTTTTTTCTTGTTAAACAAATAGAAATGTCTGTGAATAACTGTACTTACGTTTTACGATTGATATGAAATGAGTTATTTTGATCTTTGATTTAAGTTATCAAATAAAAATAATGTACGCAAGGTTTGGTTGAAAATGTTTCATCTGTTTTTTTTTTTGATAGATTTTTTCAGTTTGTCCTTCATCATTGTTCTAATTCAATGATCATTATATAAGAAGTAAAAGATCAATGATCATTGTAAAGTTTGTCATCGTTCAGTTTTCGAGTACAGCAAGCTTTGGTTCAAGCTTCAACTCAATAATCATACAATTCAATTCCAAAAAGCTACGACAAATTAGTGAGCATTTGATGGACTGTTGGTATAATTTGATATTCAGTTTGTTCATTTCTTTCCTGTTTTATTGTTCTTGTGCGATATGATATTGAGTAAGGAACAATAAAGCTGTTGTTGACGTTGTGCAGTGTGTATTGCTAGAACAATAAGAAATTTTATTCAATCTCTCTGCAATATGTTATACAATGAATCATTGCAATGGTTTGAAAACAAGGATAAATTTCTATCGAAATGCCCTGTTATCTACGCTTTTTTGAACTTACATAGTACTGTAAAAGCAAATTTAGACTTTCTTATTGTCCTGTTTCCTTGTGAAACAAAGTAGGTTTCTTTTCTTGATGGTTCAGATCGTTGACTTCTTGGTCCTCGATACTGGTAGAATCTCGAATTTGTACTGGTTCCGTTCTATGTACGTGTACTGTGGAAGCCTTCGTGAAATACTTTATTATTCAAACCTCAAACTTGGATAATTAAACCACAGATTGACATAAAAATTGTGCAACATTACAATAATAAATTGACACATAACACACAAGTGTAACTTATTTGTAAAACATTTAAAGATATAAGCAAGCTAGACACCTCGCAATCGAGCCATACCAAACAAAGAACTAAAATGGATGGCTTTGTAAGGAAGAAAATTGGGAGGGATTTTATGGGTGTTAAGGTTACAAAGTGGATTAAAATCACTTAAAACAATAGCCTTCATTAGGTTATAGCTTCGCCATTGTGGCGACAAGTACATAGAAAGGTGGAAGTACCCAGCAGACGCTATTAAATTTAATCGTACAAAGAGCAATGTTAAATTATATGTTTAAAAAAAATTAAATTATAAGTTTTTAGAAAGATAATACTAAACAGTATGCATGGATATGTTGTGGACAACAAAAAAGAGGTAATGGGTATACAACTTTAGTGAGAATCAGATTTTCTACAAATTTAAATTGATTAAAGACACTACAAGTAGTGTTGTTTCTTGAATATTATTGAAAATTTGACAATCTATGCTTTTGTAAGTTCGCAAAAGCTCATTTTCAATCAAAATTTCTCAACACACTTCTCAGATAAAATTAAAAATGCTGACAGAATAGTATCAATACAAACTAAAATCAAATTAGAATCACACATCATTACAAAATTCGTGACGACACTTCCATTACTACAATTTTTATTCATTTGGTGTGTAGAAATGTTTGAAATATACCAATAAAAACAATTTGACTTATAAAAAAATTGATTTAACGCTTTTTCGAACATTAGAAAACTTTCATTATATTAGTGAGAATTATCAATTATTTTGCTAAATTCTATTTAAATCTCCTTGTGGAATTATTAGGACGATTGGTTATCATAATATATGAAAAGTCTTGAGAAGAGGCAATAAAATCAGATTAAATCCATGAATTATTTCAAAACTTACAATAAACCAACTTTAAAGCAGTTTTGCCAGTTTAATTTTTATTCAATGTCACTGATCCATTATCTAATTATCTGAAATATGAACAGTTCAACTTAATTTAAGGTTAATAATCATAATAAATAAAATGTCTTTAAAAAAAGTAAAAAAATGTTTACAAAGATTAAGGATGACTAAGTTGAATTAATATTTTTTCAATGATATAAGTTTTCGTAAAAACATGAATTAGTTCTTATGGATATATGTCAGAAGTATGAAGAGAGTCATATTTTGATTAAAAGATTAAAATTATGGACAGAAAATTTCACTACATGCTTTATCAGAAAATCACTACACTTGAAACAATTGGTTTCAAATTATCAATCAGTTGAATTTTTATTCTTAAAAATATTACCAAAAATGTTTTCAAACATATCATTTTGAGCTTCAAGTTAATTACCTCTTTTGCACCGTAATTGGCTACTTGTTTTTAATTTAGCTTACTTATATTGTCATAATTAGCTGATTGCTTCTGAGCAGAAAACAGATTACCGTTAAAACTAAATTAGCTGGTGCACAAAATTAATTCTTAATTTGCAAGTAAAGCTCAGAAATGATCAATCCAAGTATTTGATCCTATGACAACGGTAGCGATATTAATATTAATAGTTTCCGTGATAGTTGTAAAGCATGAAGAAAAATTTTCACTGCATGCTTTATCAAGTAATCACTATGTTTCAGGAGTGGTTTCAAACTATAAATCAGTTAAATTTCGCTTCTTAAATATATCACTAAAAATATTTTTAAATATATCATTTTAAACTTCAAGTTAATTACCTCTTTTGTATTGCAATTGACTACTTCTCTTCAGTTTATTTTGCTTATATCGTCTATTGACCACATTTACTATTTCAGAATTTAAACTTGCGAAACTTGGCAGTTTGCATTTCAACCAGCTGAATTTCTTTCCTCCTTAAAACACAACGATTAACGATTAATAAAATGATTCCTAGTTCTTACTGCATTATCATATTAGTTTTGATATTATCCTTAACTTATCAAAAAGTAAATACGACACGTGTGTTTGACGTAAGAGACGAGAATCAAAAAGCTATTAAATACGTAGCTTTTTTTACTGTCTTTTTGTTCTACGGTTTTATTAGTAATAAATTGGTCGTATTATTGAGGGAACATATTAAAAATATTTAGTAATAGTAAGACAATGTATGAAAACGATGACAATATTCTTGGCATTTTTAATAGCAATTTCAATGACAATTGCAAAGTAAGTAAAAATAATTCATTTCGTAGTCAAATTACAAATTTGACTTTTTTTAAGAAAAAAAATTATTATTACAATTTCATTGTTGATTCCTGGCAATTCTTAATTTCTTTTTATATTTTAATCAACTGAAATTCTTTTCTTGTTACTATGCTAAAAATTTGTGATTACATATATAATTTTTTTTGTGAAACTATTTCTTTCTTGACAGGAAGACAGCTGATTTATAAAATGGCTCCTTCTCACTATATAACTGTGTTATTTCTGATAATATCCCTTATCAGTCGATCAGGAAACACGACAATTTCCAGTGATATAAGAGACGAGAATCAAAAGATCACAAAATACACTGCATCTCTACTTTTTACCGTTCTCTTATTTTATGGTATTATTAGTAATACATTAATGGCAATTGTATTATTCTGTAAACGAGAATATAATCATTACAGTCGTGAATTTATTCTTATCACATCACAATTAATTATTTGCAATTTTATGGCTCTTCTCCCTCAAGTGATTGTTGTTTTGCCGGAGATGCTACAAGCTAAAAATAATTCATACGGTTTGTTTTATTTGTATTCGCTTAATTTATTATCTCTTTGTTAACATTCATTCATTAATAATTATTTAGAAGAAGAGAAACGACAAGTGGTCTTGATGAAGCATTTGATCAAATTTAAAATGATCAAACTGAATAAATTGCCGCCATTGTTCCTTAATGAACAGAATATGAATGTTCATTGTCTGAATAATTCTTCTGTTACAAAATATATTTAAATTTCATTAATATTCAATTACTGTGGTATAAATCCATAAAAAT